TCAGGCCTGGTAGTGAAATCTATATCAATTAATATTCAGAGCGCACTGACTCCAACTTTGTATTTTTAAGTTTGTAAACACAATGTATCAAAAAGCTCCATTCTATTTATAGGCCAGGACCAAAGGAAACAAAACAATTCCTAAAAATACAACTGCATATAGTTCAAGGAAATCGGTTTTTAAAAAAGCGCATAGTTTGGGAACAAAGTGGACATGCCAGACAACTTCCGAACATTACACAATTTTTAATCGTATTCTATAGCATTACGTAAAAGAATGAAGTCAAATCCACTGTATACAATATTATATTTTGAAAAGACAATGGTTTAAATAAAAAAACCTGCAAATCACCATCATTTTTTTCAGTGTCTCCACGTCATCATCGCTGAGTTCAAACATTTAATTTTATATTATATTTTCCCAAACTTTACAGAATGTGCGCTCCTATGATCTTATACAGCTGCAGGCGCCCTAAAACTCATACAATATCAAACTGAAACTTAACAGAAGAAAAAGAGAAAGCATTGACTCATCTCATCAATCCCCGCTTCGTCGCATTATTTCCTTTTCTGAATTTTGCCCTTTCTTATTCCGACTTTTGCCCTTGGAAATTCCCGCCAGTTTACGACTCAATTTCACCCAATATCTCGCTACTACGTGGTATTGTATTTGTACAGAGACAATAGCCTAGCAGTTGACAGTAGTGCCACGACAGGGTTTGTTCAACAGTGCCTGATTACAAATACAAAAACGAAGGCCACTAAAATATTTCTGTATTGCTTTTTATTGCAGCCGACGCTAACGCTAGCTAGGAGACTATCACAGCTTTTCATGGATTTTTGTTTAGTTAAAAAGGGGGTTGTTATGGTGGTTGTGGTGGTGGGATTTATTTGGGGGGGGGGGCGGTGTTAAATCCTGGGTGACACTGAGATAAGTGACACCATTGTCACAATAAAAGCGGAACCAGCTAACAAATCAACGTAATGATAAACATTTCACCTACCTTTCGTCGACCTGGCAGGAAATCCAAATAATTAACACTAACACACACAAACAAAGAAAACAAAGAGAACAAAGAGTGCACAAATTGAGAGGAGAAGAAAGAGACATTTTGTACGTTTTCAAATAGCAGCCTCTTTATCATGTTTTCATTCATTAGAATATAGTTTTTTATGTGTAGAGTTCGACAAAAGAACCCCTTGCTTTTGTACCCTGCATCTTGATTTACAAAGTTCCCAGACCCCTCCACGCCCCTCCGCTTCTTTCAACATTCCAACAGATACACCCCTCCCCCCATCACTTTCAACAGAAACAACTCCATCTTTTTTTAAATTTTAATTTATTACTGAAACTCTCTTCTCAGATAGAGCTGAAAAGAAATACTACAGTTACTTGAAATGAACGCCATAATACAAATGCCACAAGGCAGGCAGCAAAATGCCAAAGAATTTCCCTTGATCTCTTGGTGAAATGAGAAATATTGAACTGTACAAACAGACAGACTGACAGCCCTCGATACTTCATCGGTGGGAACCTTACTGTACTGTTTCTTCTGCGCAGTGTGCAGATTGCATGCCAATCACAAAAAGCACTCACTGTCCTCACATGTGGCTGACCTGGTGTACTACTGACTTAACACAATTTGATGAAATGTCGCCAAACTGCGATATATTCTAGTTTTCACATTCCAGCTTACTGCTCCCCCCCCTCCCCTCCTTTTCCATGGACATGATTAGAAAGTTCGAAGTCTAAACAAATATTTCCCTTTATTTTTGAGTGCATCCTTTCTGATTTCTTTGAACAATACCTTGAGTAAACCCACTGCTTTAAGTGCCTAACATAGTTTTGCCGGAAAGACCTAAGTCATATGAGATTTGTATGTGGCTATATGACTTTCATAGTGGTTTGTTCTTTTGAGTGCAAGAGAAGTATAAGGAAACAATGACGGTCACAACAACAACAAAAATGGAGGAATAGTACGATACACATACACCACATGGAAATGAACAAGAGCAAACAATCTGTCAGCATCACAGAACCATACAAGACGGCCTGCTGGCTGATCATAACAGAGACACACAAGGCCTGCCATATGCCCTGGGTCTTGCATCCGCAGAAGCAACAGGGCGCTTACGTCACAAATATCGTTATGGGTTCTCCCCCCCAGAAAACCTTTCGATTCTTAAGGATCTTAAGGATTAAGGGCTCACCCGCCCATAACAGTTTTTAAAAAATTATGGGGGGGGGGGGGGGGGGGACATAATGTATAATAGTACAAAGAATTGAACATTTGGGAGTACTGACCTTTGAAAAAAAATTCTAGTACAATCCCTCAAGGATATGGCAAACCTAGGGTACATACGTTGATAACTTAATCCCTCTGACGAAATCATCATGCCATTAAAAGTGGAAATTAAGTGACAAATGCAGAAAATGACGAAAACAAACTAAATTAGTAAAGAATGTATAATTAATAAAATAAATTATAGAACAAACAACTAGAAGTGCACGAGACTGACAAGGATATAGAGTCAGAAGTCAGAAAAGAAAATGGGTGAAAAAAAGCGGCAATGGATAAATGAAACCCTGACGCAAGAAAAAAGCAACACAATCTAAAAAAAAATAGATACAGAGAAAAAAATATTGAAATAGAAAAGGTAACTGAACAATAACACTGTAAACCAAGTTTTTAAGAGTTTTTTTTTCATATTTTAGAATCTCTTCCGCCCCTTCCCACCATTCTCAATATATAAAAAAAACTCCCACGACTGAAACAACAATTTTTATACTATTCAAATTCAAAGCTTTTGCAACCAGTTCAAAAAATATTTTTTTTATACAACACATCTGCTTATTCTGCCTTACACCGTTTGAGTGACTTAACATTTATACACATCACCAAAAGTAAAATCATTATACCATGGTTTACAGTGAGTTTTAGAAAACATAAAGACACTTATGGACAGCCCAAAATGAGACTTGGAGCAAATTCAAGCTGTCAACTGAAAGAGATTAATCACACACCCATCCCACTATCTGAAATGAGGGGCAGGAAAGGTTTTTTTCTTTTCTGCCTGGCAGTGCAGTCCGTTCTCAGCACTGGGCTAAGACTGATGGTGAGGGAAGAATTGATTGAATGTTCGAAATATTAAAGCCGAGAAAACAACTGTTTCACTTCAATGAAGTCAGTCTTGTCTGTATCGAAGAGCTGTAACTGCTTTTTTCTGAATAGTCTGAGGGCAACATCTTAATACTTTTTGTTTAACCAAGTAGGTGTGAACACAAATCTACCAAAAATGGGAAATCTTTGGTCATGTATTTCAAACAAAACCATTATCTTAACATTGTTCAGGTGAACGCGAAAAACTCCAAGAAACATCAAGAATATTGCGTTAAAAACTTTTGTCTCATTTTGAGGAGTGGCAAATCAAGAAGTCACACACCCATTCCTTCGTCCACCAGATCAATTTTCTATGATTCTAGACAAATTGGACAAACCATTCTAGTTAGTTATTTGCTGATTCTCAAAATGTTTTTTTGAATTACAAAAATAGGAGCACAAAAGCAATCAAAGATATACCTAACAGCCCGGTCAAATACTGGGGCACGAACCAGGGACTAAACTGCACAGTGCTGCTGAAGGCACAGAAAAAAAGAAGAGAAGTAGGTGGTCTAGGAATGAGTGTGAGGATCAGATGGTAGGTAACTGACCTGGGATTTCCGCGCAGAGCAGCATGGTGGAGAGCATTGAAGCCATTGTTGTTGGTGATTGTGATGTCTGCTGTGTGCTCCAGCAGTAGAGCAATCATGTCGTCACGCTTCTTGCTGATGGCATCGTGCAGCGCTGTATCACCTTCTGAGTCCTGGGGGAAAAACCAAATTTTCATAGACAATCAAAATACATGACTAGACTTTTTAAAATGCAGGTCCCTTTGAAAGCGCCACGTTACATTACCCCCGACAGGAGACAGAAGAAGAGAAGAAAAGTTATCATCTCTTGAAGAGAAAAGCCTGTTTCAATAGCAGCACAGAAATTTGATCAGTGCTTTCTCATCCTGAATGAGATTGTGGTGACAAAAAACATTCTGTGGAAACAATCCTTGACCAAATTATGGTCACAGCAAGAATAAGTTGAGTGGTTGAGGGTGGTCCAGGACAGAACTTTTCCCCTGGATCACTTTGAACCTTTCAAGTAAAAGCAGTGGAGAAATCTCTTTCGCATGCTGAATCCATGGATGAAACACATATTGAGTACCAACAAGAGCAACTATGTTCGCAAACATGGCAACATAGCTAGGTCCATGACTTAACCTTTCAAAGCCCCAGTCGCCTTTACTTCCCTCATGAGTGTTAGCTTCCCCGCGCCTAGACGGCATTATTTCCCTTTCCAGGCAACGGCCACCTCAAACCCAGTCCGGTAATCTAACTGTAATCTATATCTGTCTGATTGTCTCTGAAATATACTCTACACGTTATCTTCTAAAACTTCAAACAAAAGCAGGATTTTTTTTGTTTTTGTATGTCAGCAAAGAATTACTGGCACAACCAGTATTGCCTGGGCTTGAGAAGTAAAGGACTTAAGGATTACTTGGGACAGAGGAAAGTGAGGACTACAAAATAGCCGGGTGCTTTAAGGGTCAAATACTTACATATTTATTGTCCAGATCCTAGCTCATTGGTTTGGTGTTTCACCATGTACACAAACACACACACGCACGCACACACACTCACAAACATGCACATACATGCATGTGCACGCACATGTGCACACCCATATACACATACTCTCTCACACATCATCTCCTCCACACACATCTGTACACAAAGTTTACAAAACATGAACAGGCAGCCCTTCCCACAGCAGAATATAAGTCGCAATGTGGTGGAATTAGGCACTTGTCAAAATAATGAAATTGAAGCAACGGACATTTTTCCATCCACTGGGCAATTTTTATGAAATTCTTTATTTTCGGTTCAACATCTTTTATATCCATTCAAAAACATATTCCTGCATGCATTTTACTGAAAAACATTGACGAAAAGCAAAAAATATGTAAATTTATAATTTCCAGGGACTCTCCAGCTTTGGAAAGCACCAAACTTTGGCAGCCATTTTCTCACTAACTTTTATCTCGGACACCAGGCGACCCCCACCTCCTTCATTTGCAAATATCTCGACTGCTATTCAAGACAGATGGGTAGTTTTATCATTAAACGCTGGGCAAATGAAGAGGCTTGAAGATGATACCAATAATTCTATATACCCAAATACTGATGAGCCCCTGATTCCTCCGTATTGTGACACATATGGCAAAAGACTGAAGCTCACCTGTAGACTCGGGTGACTGCCCAGGTCCAGAAGAGATCGTACCACACCAATATGACCTTTGTTGACCCCGATGTGCAGGGGCGTCTGCCGGCGCTTATTGCGAGCATTCAGATCAGCGCCACCTCTATGCAAGAGCTCAATGACAGCCGGTTCGTCTCCAAATGCTGCATGATGTACAGCCCTGTCACCATCCTTATCCTGTTGGAGAACGGATGCAAAAAAAAAATTTAACATAAAAACGTCAGCACATACGGAGAAAACTAAAACTAAGTTAAAAGGTTTGAAAATTGTCTCTGCCGGTGCAAAAAGAGTCTAACACAAATGGTATGTATATTAAGAATCAGAGTCTGTATTTTAAAATAAAACTCCAATACTCAATGATAATTTTGGTTTTGTTTTGGTGAGTTTTTAATGGCACTCGCAAATGCATATCTGACATACTCAAGCATCAAGCAGTCACTCAAAAAGGAATCCAGGTAATGGAGCTCAGAGCCAAAACTGGTCTAAAATAACTTTCAGCTCTGCACCAGTTTTTTGTTCCTGTCCATTTCTTAAATTTCTTGATCAGAAAAAGATTAATCCACGAAAAATTTAACAATAAAACAGTAATGAAACTATACAGGCCCATTCTTAAAGTATCACTTTCAGTAACTGAGTACACATATCAACAGAATGCACAATCATTTTTAGACAAAAGAGGGGGTTGGGTCAGCCAGCTACCTACCTCCACTTCCATATTGACATCGTGCTTGATAAGCACTTTGATCACCTCAATGTGTCCGTTCTGGGAAGCCGCTTGCAGGGCTGTGTGGCCCGCGAAAACACCGTTCACCTGGAAGATAAAGCAAAACTTAGGGGGCAAACAAGAGAGGTTATAGGAAATGAAATGGCATAGATACAACGCCTCATCAACGCTGTTAGTTTAATTAAGAGGAGGGATCTCAGAGTTAAACGTCCATCTTCGAAAGGACTGAGCCAAGTGGGAAATTCGTGTAAAGTACCTTTCCTAAGGACACAACATCGGACTGAGCTGAGGCTCGAACTCTCAAACCCGCAATCTCAGGATTACGAGTTAGGTAGCCTAACCATTAAGCTACAGACACCACCCCAGAGGGGTCACACCAAAGTTACTTTTAAAAAAAACCCACATACACAGACTTCAGTGGCCTGTGCAGCCAATTTTCAACTTTTTTCAACATATGGCAACCTGAAAACTTTCCCACAAGCCAACAGGATCAAAGGGACCTTTCATATCCTCCACAAAATCCCAACAGACAAATGCCACCTTCACAGCAGTGTGTAACTGCACAGTGGCTAAATTTTTTTGGGTCAATACAAATATCACCAGCATAGGAAAGAAAACAGGAAAACAGGACTATAAAAGCTTGACTAGAACAGTTCCAATAACACCGGGAAACCAAAACAACCATTGAAATAATAACAATAAACATTCTGATCTTCTCCCTCATTTGTTCCAAAACCACTTGTCTGACACCTATAGATCTTTTTCTGCTGACTATTTTTGAAGTTATATTAAGTACTCAATTCAAAATTTGTTTGTTTTATACAAACTGAGGAAACGGAGCACATTCAACATTTGTATGAACCTTCCACAGCCACTTTAAATTACCATTCGATCTTAATACAGATTGATTCTTTAAACTTACAATCATCCAATCATGGTGAAGAATCCTCTAACAAAATATATTATCATCATTATATACGAGGACTGCAGCAGACAGAACATCTCTGACTACCAAGACAACAAATATTTACTCACATCAGACTCTGGCCTCTGCAGAATCTCGTCCACTTTCACTCCATCCCCGTTAGCCGAGGCTTTGACGAGCTCCTCATTGACATCCCCGGACACGTGAGTTTCAAACAACTTCTTCAGCAGAGCACTAAGGCGTTCTGGGACAAAACCAGGCACAGACGTATTTGAGAAAACTGACTTGAAATTATATGCTTCAGAAACAAACAGTACAAAAAAAAAAAAATATCTTGAATATAAAAAATCATGAAAACATTCTTGGCAGCTCTCTTATCGTGTGAAGAATATGTTGGCTTCTGGATTTACCAAGATCTGTGGCAGGTGAACTTACATATCTTCAGCACACAGATAATATTAACCATGAGCATTAATTTCCACAAACAGCATGATTACAAATTAAGCAGTACACAGCATACATCCACGCAGAGATGAGAATCTCCCCTCCCACACTGCCATGCATAATTTAGTAACAGATGCTGACACTCCTGCTCCCGGATGAGAGGTTTTTTTTCTTTAACTCTTTCAAGACGCACTGTTTCAGGGCACTATATAAAAAAGAAGCAAAACTTCCTTATTCTTACAGATTCTTCAAGTCTTTCTTGACTAAATGAGAATCAAACTCATAACTGTGAGAAAAGATTCAAGACTTTACACGACAGGTGCTGGCCATCTCTTCATCGACTGCTTCACAGTACGGCTAAATACATTCAAAATCGACTATCCTGCGTGATTATGACGTATGTTTCTCTCTATCAGGCAAAAAGCGTCTGGAAATAAGGAGGTTCCCAAGATATTCATACCACTGATGCAAGTACAAATCACATTACAGTGCTCATCAAATACAGAAAGGAAGGAATTACTGAAAAAACATTAAAACATGGTAGGATATGCCATGGCGTTGTGTGGTGTGGTGTGGTAAGGGTATAACACTTCTTTAATCATTTTAAGTTTAATTTGAGAGTCAAAACTTCCAAATTTAATGTCCATCTCTCATGGGAATCAGCCAAGAGAAAGGTAAGCCTTGAAAATGCCTCAAAGAACCAAAAGCATAAGATCACTTTATTCAGGACTGAAACAATGGTCATTTGCATTGTCGTCAAACAAACACAACACCAAAGAAGCTGTCTGTGTGTTTTGCACAAACATATACAGCATAGACATAAACTAAATGCTTTTGGTTTTATTTTGTACAAAATCTTAGTAGCATAAAAAAAAAGTTGAATAACCTTGTCCTTGGACTAACAGCTGAATTTCAATGTACAACACATCTGGACTCAGACACACGACGCTCAAAGGTAGCCATAACTTAACAAACAAGGATCTTTTCTTTTTTAAACTTCAGATGACACACATCAATTTCAGATTCTAGTGAAAAACCCCCAAATAAACGCAAGGAGTTCAAAAGTAAGTCATAGTCATGCAATATGCAGGATCAGAGATGTTTAAAAACTTAGTCATGCGAAAAGTAAATTCCTCTCATTTAAATGAAACCTCCCAAAATGCCCATCCCTGAAGACGACTCAAACTAAGCACAAGAGAACACTACAGGTACTCTTTGAGCACAACAAAGGGGGGGGGGGGGAGAGGAGGATCAGATAAATGAGGAAAGGAGGAGAGAGTGCTTTTATAATCCTCCCCCCCCCCCCTTTTCCCTTTATACATCTATGAGGAGCTTTGGACTTCAATGAGCAGTATGTGAACACAGAGACAGGCACTGGTTGTGCTACCAAAAGCAAAACTATCAAGCAGCAACCATGGCAGAGAAAAGTAAGGGGAGGTAATAGGACAACAAGCCACAGAACGTGCATGGCTCTGAGTTGACCTATCAGAAGGTGCAGTAGCTCATTTCTATACCAAATCAGAATTTGTGACATAGGGAAAAATGAACCAAATTTTAAATCTTAATTCAAAAAGACATTGTTCAAAATGTTTTGCTGAACATTTCTGAACAAACTGAGTTGAGGATGTAGGATGGACAAATTTTGAAACTGTTTACTCCTGTGGACTGACACTATGACTAGATTCTTTCCTCTAACTCTTTATACAGCCTTATTATGGAAAATGTCAAAGCCATTGTCTCAAAAACTTATCTTTCAGAAACTACTGCCCTTTAGAATACTTTTGCCTCATACAGAATGCTCTGATTGCACCAAAATTACTGCAAAATACTTATGAAAGATCAATATTTTGAAATATGTTTTCTTAGAATCACAAATATAAACTTTTGTCTTAAAATCTCCAACATGCTGCTCAATGTTTATGTCAGTCAATTTGATCTCAAACACATTTTTGGGTCAAAAGGAAAGAATGGTTAATTTATTAGCAAGACAATTTAGGAAATTTACAAAATCTTTACAATATCAAATTTTTTTGACGAACCAAATTTCATACTTTCAAAGAGCTCTGATGGCCCAAACATTCCTACAGTCATAACTAAATAACTCAACAGTCAGCCATGTGATCTGACTCTTTGTCATGTAAACACAGTTAACCACTTCGCAACATAAAATTTTTTTCATTTTTTGCTGCCCCAAATTCTGGAGGGACAAGACAGAAGGGTTCTAATAATCTTGTGGCTTGTGTCACTGTTTTGTATACGATTTTGTTACTCTGATAAAATACCCAAGTGCTGTATATTTTTAGAATGAGGGCTGTCTAGAAGTGAAAATTAGGACTTCAGAGAACATTTACAAGTATACTGCAGCGTGAAAGCAGAGACCTGCAACACAAGGAAAGTGGGAGCACAAATGGGAAAACTTAGCACAATTTCCTTTCAAAATGAAAGATTGACTAGTTTCCCATATTTTTGATATTCCAGATTTCGAATCTTTCTTTGGTGTTCGGCTACAGTAATGTTCATATCTTTTGCAATACTGTTACACAATCCCAAACAAAATACTTTTTATGGTCCAAATAATGGGCAAAATTAGTTATTTAAAGATTTCACTGTTTATATGGTTGGTATATTGTCACATGATGCTGGTAGAGCGTACAGTATACAAGAGCTGTCTCCAATGTTTAAACAATAGAGGTACAACAACAAGACATTGCAAAAGCTATCAAGTCTTCATTGTGTTTCTTTCTTCTTTTAAAGTACATTTCCTTTTGGATGATTTATTGACAATTCATTGAAGACATAAGCTTTACATTTCAAGTAGAGGCTGACACCACTTTAGAAGACTGACTTATAGCAGTCGGTAACAACGCATTTGAAAATCTTGATATTATCCGTCCCGACCCCTCTCAACAATAAACAGTGTGAATTTTATTACCTCCAGAAGAGCATCCGATTGCAGCGCCATCAGCAGATGCCACTTTGGTGACGGCCAACGGGTTGTAGGTCCACGAAGTGCCACAGACTTCCACCTTTAGGTCATTGTCATGGTAGATCTGCTGTACACGGCCAATCTTGCCCAGGGTCTGCGATGGAATTGTGCAGAATGTTATGGTACGGGATTGTAGCATGTGATACGCTACCGTATGGTTAGGGGTATACTGTGGTAAGTAATAGAATGGAAAGATATGCCATGGTGTGGTGTGGTGTGGTGTGGTGTGGTGTGGTGTGGTGTGATGAGGTGAGGGGTGGGTTGGTGTGGTGTGGGTTGGTGTGGTGTGGGTTGGTGTGGTGTGGGTTGGTGTGGTGTGATGAGGTGAGGGGTGGGGTGAGGTTGGGTATGCTGCGGTGTGGTGTCCTATGGTGGTATGGCATGGTATGGTGTAAAAGCCCTATAAACACTATAAATTCATTTCAGAAGCACAACTTCTGAAATCAAGATTCTACTTCGAAAGGTCAGAGAGAAGTAGATCTAGGTGGAAAAACCAATTTAAAAAGACCTGCCCTCTTGGGGATTTGAATCAGGGTGATTAACGCTGTAGTCCATCATGACATTAACAAATCTATAAGCATTTCCTTTCAAGAGTCTGCTTGGGAGGCGATTACAAGGGAACAGATTTATGACACCGTTTATAACATTTTGTGGGAAAAATCAAAATGAGGATAACGACACCAATAATGAGGAGCCAATATTGTCCTCTAGAAAAGGAACCAGTTCAGGTTCAGACCATTTGTTTTGACCATTTTAAACTTAAATTGATCTCTTCACCTGAACCCCCCCCCCCCCCCCAACAAAAAAATATTAAAAAAATAACCCCTCCTGTTATAGAAAATACAAATAGACCCAATCTTTCCGGAATTCTGGGACTTGTCCATAATTTTCCAAAGATGCGAATCTGAATGTGGTAATGAAGAGAGCAGACAGGACACGTACCGGCAGCATGGCCTCCGCCCACTCCCCATGACCACGCTGCAAGACCTTGATGCGCTCCGCGTCGCTGCACACCTGCACCAGGTCACCCACGGCAAATTGAGCGGCCGAGTTGGAATCGCTAGCCAGGGAAGTGGAGCTGCTGGCGGTGCTCACCTTGGTCAGGACGGCTGGGTTGAACGTCCACCTGGGACAAAGCCAGTCGGAGGAAGAAAACAAACTGTTTACCATTTCGGTGAAAGCATTCCTAATAAAAGTTTATTGGATCAGCTTTCAAGAAAATGAAGAAAACATCCCTTTTCACCATTTTCATGAAAGCAGTGATAATTCTCGTTACAAAATGGGTCACAAAAGTTCTCACAAAAATGACAAGAAAACAAGAAAAAGTTACTGTATTCACAGTAAATATTGGAAATACTTCTTTTTTCCATTGCACTAGGGTGGTTAAACCTAGTGCAATGGTGTATCAGTTTCATCAAGCCAATTGTCTTTTTTCTTTCTTCTTGATATTTGTTGACTACACTCCCAGGTTATGCCAGTAAATGCATGGAGATGTTTTTTTACAGCCTACTCCAACGCTTTAAAGTCTTGATGACAGAAGGTCGGGCCAATATTCTCTGTTCCTCTCTTCAAAAGGGGAACTTTTAAAAGAAAACTGAATTCTGTGTCTGTTGTGCAATGGTCAGGCTCCTAGCTCTGCACTGCAAACCCAAAAGTTCAATTCCCACAAAACGGGAGGCTGCCTGGATTTCCTGTAAAACATGTCACTACAGCCTACCTAATCTCAAATTTCCAGGTACCCCATAATGCCCTGAAATTTACCGGAAGACTGTTTTTCTTATTCTATAATTATTCAGTCCACTCTATCGAACCTCTTATGACATGAACTGACCAGAAATATTACTGACACACTTGAACGTTAATTAAGGTAAACAAAAAGCATTTTGAAGATTTATTTGGCCAAGCGTCATACTTTGAAGTTTAGACTTTGCAGATTTGATGCCAAAATCTTGAGTGGAGTATAAAAAGTAAAAAAAAAAAAGAAAGAATAGAAATCAGCAAAAGAAAATTTCCTTTTGCAGCCATGTTTGCACCAAGAACAATGTAAACAAATTAAGTCAAGACAGACTATTTAAACACTCAGATGTGATTGTAGAATCACAGAACTGGTATGTCTTCCATTACCTATTGCCGCTTGGGTAGGAGACAACAATGTCATGGTCCTCATCAATGCCCACCACAGTACCTGTCGTACCCAGACACTGCAAGTATATATATTTTTAAAAAAGAATTAAAGAGGACAAAAGTTATTGATCACCTGTTAAGAGGATTGTTTTTCAATGGCAGTAATAACAGCCAATAACATAACATCATGAACGGAAACAAACAACTTGGGTTCAAAACTTTGAACAGGTATTTCATTCTCTTACAATAATACAGCAGTAATTTTTTTAAAAATACACATCATTATTTTTCCACTAAAATGACACCAAAAAAATGAAAACTGCATGAAACTGACAGCTGGATACAGGTTTAACTCACTCAACCCTAGGCCTACACTTCTTGGTTGTCAGCTCTCCCTAGAGATTTTTACCACTTAAAAAAAAATTGAAAAAAATACAGTAGTCTCCGCCGAAACGTACGTCATACAAAAGCACGCTCCGCTCAAAGGCACGCTTTTGTCATCTGATGGGTTTTTTACTATATAATTTAGACGGGGGGGGGGGGGGGACTGAACAGTTGTTTAATTGGTCACTGGGAATGCATCTTTGAAAGAAGGTTTCTGACTGGTGTTTGGGTGACTCCATGTAATGTTTAGTTAGACCTAGGCCTGATGCGCAACACACGTGAATGCCGTAAAACACAAGACAGGCCTCTATAGGACTTAAGATTGGTCAAGTAAGCCTAATCAGCTGCGCTCAAAGAACTTATAACTTAGATTCTACTTGTTCAGCGAATCACAAGAGAAATGTTTCTCTGAATGTAGAGATCTATGATTCTGATGTCGTCCATGAATTTACAGTCGGGGAGGTCGCTTGGAAAGCCACATGGCTGAGCCGTCGTCTCTATGACTATCTCCAACAGTTTCCTCTTAGGCTATCTGTTCCTGACATTTTATAGTGCATTCATTACACTGGGTCTGTCTTTCTCCCCCCTCCCCCCCCCAAACCCCATTTAACGCCTTTGTATCCCTAACCGCAGTCGCGGAATCCTTCACAGAACAGTCACGTGTCACATTATCGGCCAAAGTGTTAGGCAGCTGCTTGACTTCCTGAAAGTGTGTCCAATCCATCGCAAACGTCTTCTTCCCACCTCATCTCTGACTGGCCTCTGTCTCATTCTTCTTAATACTTCCTTGTTGGTGATCCTGTCTGTCCATTTGATCCCCAGTAGCTTCCTCAGACACTTGTTTAAGAAAACCTGGATCCTCTTCATGCATGTCTGAGATGCGTTCCACGTCTCACATCCATACAACAAGACTGACTTCACATTTGAGTTGAAAATTCTAAGCTTTGTTTGTAGTGAGATATCCCTGGTCGTCCAAATCCTGTTCAAAGAAATAAATGCCTGTGCCTTTCCAATGCGGGACTTTATTTCAGCACCCGTTCCTCCCTCTCTGTCAATTATACTCCCAAGACAGCAGAAGGATTCGACGTCTTCTAGTGCATTTCCTTGTAAATGTCTGCCTGAACACGTTGATTTCCTAAGCAGCAACATTTTGTGGTTGTTTTTTTTAATAGAAATTAAATATGAGGCCATACACATGCACAAAAAAAAAATCTTGAGCATAAGTCCTTTGTCCAGAAAAAGAGAGTACACCAATTAAACTACTCCATGAGAACATACAGTCGAACCTGCCTTAACGGAAACCTGAATAAAACGGAAGCCTGTCTTAACAGAATCTCCCCGCTCCCCCCTTGATACATTCCTCTTTAATTACTTGTATAAAGACTAAATGAATTTCTGTTCGCAGACGACCAATGTCTAATTCATCATGACCAACAAAGCCTCCAAAATCACACTACCGAACTCAACAACACCTGTGAGAAATTCAACATAAAAATAAGCACATCAAAAACAATTTATGAAAGTGAGCCGAAACCATAGTCCCCTGAACATCCATGTTAATAGTAAACAACTAAAACAGGTGAAAGAGTTTAAATATCTTGGCAGCACTTTTTCTGAAAACGGGTCCATAGACAGAGAAATAGAAATGCGAACTCAAAAAGCCAACGCTGTCACCTACCAGCTCGCACCCCTTCTATCTCATCCAAACATCTCCATGGACACAAAGAGACAGCTTATCACCTCAATATTCATACCAACATTATGTTATCAGTGCCAGACCTGGACCTTAAGAAAAACCCATGAAAGCAAAATCATTGCATGCGAAATGAAATGTCTCCGCAAAACCCTTAACATCACAAGACGAGACAGGCAGAGAAATGAAGAAGTAAGAGCAGCTATCGGCACTGAGTCCTGCCTACATAGAAAGACAGAGGATAAAATGGTTTGGCCACCTGTTACGCATGTCACCTGACCAGCCAGCCTTGAGAGCCTACAACACCAAGCACTCAGGCTATAAAGGAAGAGGAAGGCCACGCAAAAGGTGGATCGAGGGTGTCAAGGAAACCCTAAGAAAACATAACATCACAACTGAAAGAGCTGCGGAGCTGGCCTACCATAGAAAACTGCATTTCCCCTCGACGCTTAATGGCAACAGAGGATGAAAAAAAAGTAAAAGTAAGTAAGTATAAAACGGAAACCTGTCCAACGCCGAAATGGAAATAAAAATCCGCTCCCTTCTGAGTGTTTCACCTGTCTAAAACGGAAAATGCTCTGCCTGCTCATCACTGATTTGAAACAAAACTCGCAAGTTTGGTTCTGCCGGCTCTAAACTTAACGCCATGGCCATGCCGCTGGGCGAGGAAGGGGAGTAGGGGTGCAATTTTGGGGTAGATGTTACCCCATCATGTGAGCCCTGAGCGATGCAGATGGTCAGTGTAGTGTGGGTGTGAAATCTCACGACTTCCCGTGAGAGTGCTTGAGTAGGGAGCCACTACGGAAACTTTCCTGGGTAGCCAGAAGCCAGAGGTGTGAAATTAGATAGACCAATGCCTGCTGCCCAGATCGTACGGCCAGCCGATAAAAGAGTTCCTCGAATCATTGTGTTACAGTGAGGGGTGGCATTGGTGGGTGGGTCTAAGGGTGGAAACAAAGGAGATGTTCAAACATTTCTGTTTTTAATAGGTCAAACAGTGGTCCAATGAAAGGCAAGCGCTGGTGGTAATTGGATAAGTAAGACTGACGCATGTCATTATCAGAGAGGATAGTAATTGAGAGTGTGAAGTTTTGACCACTGCTTGCCGATCGGACAAGCGATCCTTGATCCCACCGGTGGGGCCTTAGAATCCCCCCACCCCTCCCAACCTCCATCTACCCCTAAATTCCCCTGTCTAAGACGGAATTTTTTTCTGGCTCCCTTGCGATTCCGTCTTACACAGGTTCGACTGTATATAGCTTTTAGACTTGTGTTCACAGGAGTTTTTTATTTACACAGGAGACATCCAAATGCAAGAGAGGTGAACAATTGACACATGGTGTTGTATTGTGTCACCAAACACCCAGCAATGACAGGGATGTATTTTTACCTAGCGTCAGCTCAAAACAGTACAACTTCCGGCTAAATGCATAAATGAAGCCAAAAAAGTGTGTTATCGGAGTTGCAAGCAGTTCACTGAAGTTCGTTTGGGTATTTTTTACACCAGAGACAAAAAACTAGTTTTTGCTGTGTTGTTCCTATCAGGAATCACTAAAAGCAAGAAAATTGTAAGCCTTGACCATATGTGTGTGCACCTAGAGAAAGGTACCAAAAGTCACCCCAGACCGTTTCAAGCTACAGGCTGATAATGACAAAAATTCCTTTTTTGACCAAAATGTGTTTCCATAAAAAAAGATAGATCCACCATTTTTTACAATGTGCCCAAAGGGTTTTCATTGATTTGACTTTTAAATATTTTATTTTGAATTATTTTGAGGGTAGGGTATATTAAAAACAAATAATGGAAACTGCTTTTAAAAGGTGTTAAAATCTATTCTTGAAACACGTTTTCTCTTCCCTGCTATGTTTTAACATTGAATTCCATTCCTGATATTGATGTCAACTGAATGCCAAATTGGACATGAATTTTCTATGAATAAATATATTTAAAAAATCATTTTTCAAAAGTTTGTATGTGTTCTCACGTTTGTTAAACTTAAGAGCTCTTTATACCCTACCTCGTAAAATGAGCAATATCTCAAAAACTACTTGAGATATCTAAAAAATTCAAAGACCCCTGTGTTCAGCATTGAATTTCCTATAAGGTACAACCCTCAACTTAAAATGGTCAAAATCCGACTTTTGGTACCTCTCATTGGGCACGCACACATATTATCAAACTGCATTTTGGCGATGTTGAAAGAAAGGTGCATCTTAGATAGGGCTTTGGAAGAGTGTAAGAATAGAAAATAGTCAAAATTTGGACTTAAGTAGATTGCTTCTGACAGAAACAATGTACCAAAACAGAAACAAACATTTCTGAAAGGGGTGAAACAAAGTGGTCATAAACACGAAACAGGTCTAGTCTTTTGTTGTAATATTCCCTTGCACAGACACCAAACAGAACAGACAGCCTCAAAATCACTTTTTGACTCTGAAACTCTGAGTTAAGAAGACAGATGAGCTTGCTAGTATACCTCAAACATGCCGTCCGTCCATCCTCCGTGTCCATGTTGTAAGGACTGAACAATTTCCAAGTCAAGATCAACATTGACCTGATCCCCAATGGCTAGGCCACATGGCCCTGACCTTGACCCTGGACCTTGTTCACCTGTCACAAAAATAGGAAAAGAATCAGTTCAAAGCTGTACACATTTCAAGATAATCTTAAAAGGAGTTTGAAAAATTCAAGAGCAAATCAGGAAATAGACTTGCCATTCATGGGACCAGAACCCACACACACAGCACACTTTTAAAACTCTTAATATATAAAGACAAAATACAGTTTAAGCATAAATATTCAGCTTACATTTCAATCTAATACCTGCTTATGTACCTCTGACTATGCAACTTGTTCTTTGGATAACCCTCTCTATTCTAATCAACACTAACCTATTCTTTTCTAACAACTCGTCAATGAGTTGTCCCTTCTAATACAGCAAAGATTCTCTTTGCTAAATATTTCTCATTTTCCAAACTCACAAACTTTGGGATCTTATGAAGAGACTACAGTATTCCAAAAGGTGGCAGGAACAAAATATAACCTGGAAAATCTAACTCATTCCCTTCCACAAACAGCAAAATGCAGCTCAACATTCCCTCATGCCATGGCTAAGAGCTGAACTCAACTGATAAAAAAATTCAGACTCTTTTCCCATACCGTATTTCCAAACGGCTCATTAAATATTCCAACCCAATCTATTTTATAATCAGATCTACTTCCAGTTGACATATTTTGACAGGCTGGTAATACATGAATGAGTATTATTATTTCTCGTGAATTTCTTATTGACTCAGCTAGAAATATTTCATATATTTTAGTCTTCACTCAAAATGGAAGTAAGTTTTTCAGGGGAATGCCCACAAATATGTTATTGTGCTGGGGAAGCTCTGGAAATGTGAAATCTATGGATAAGAGGTCGTGCTGATAAAAAAGACAAAGAAGCTTCCCTTTTTTTCGCATCAGAAGAAGGCCACAGGAATGCTAATGAAGGAGTTAAGAGTTGATTTCAGCTCAGTTTAAATGTTTAATCCTCCATAAATTGTTGTGATTTAATTTTCTTAATTTGTAAATATCTGTCCATGAAACTTGCCTGTAACATTCTATTATCGGTTATATACAGTAAACTGACAATTTATAATACTTTCAACAAAAAGTTTGAACATTTCATTCCATTCCACTAATACAGTTTGTCATATGTTTGCAAGGCTATCTTTTGTCTTATAAAGAGTACAAGATGAGCCATTTTTCTGTATTTCGACAGGAAACAGACTTCAGAACAATAAGTTTAATCACAAGTGTGAGGTTAAAAAGTGATGTCTTTATAGCAAATGGGCTGGTCAGAAGGAGAACGGCCCAGCAGTGAATGATTTATGGTGCTCTAAACATCAGTTGCGGAAAAGGGTATGATGGGATTTAATATCCTATCTCAGCACATACCCAACAAAGGCAAGTGATCCCTGTAACATGAACCTCCTTTGGCATCATTCATCACCTTCAGATCCGCCTGCAAAAAGAAGCACATTTTGTATTTATTTAAAACAAACTGGAAAACTTTAGCAGTTCCAGCAAATATTTTACAAAATCATATGGGAGAAATACTAAAAAAAAAACAACACAAAGCTTGATTCCCTATACAGACAGCGATTTAAGTATAAACAGGAAGAGACTTTGGTTTTCCTTAAACGATATCTCTTAACTAAAATATGCTTCAAGCTAGTTATATAGTTATACCTTGAAAAGAAACAATGTTGAAGATGTATTGCAAACACGGTGCTAACAAAGTCAATGCGCAACACAAGATATCATTTGTTCAAACATTCTCAAAATGTTGGTTAAACATGGTAAAAAAAAAAAAAAAAATAAACGGGGTGAAGATGTGACTCACCATTCCTTCAAACCCCACCCTGTAGAGATTCTTTGCTCCATTGTCCCACAGCACATGGGCAGCACTGCGGGGACTAGCAGCACTCCAATCCTGTAGACAAGTTAGAGAAAGGATATCTTAATTCAGAATCTGTTTTAAAAGTATCACCACACTGAGAAAGAAAATGTTCACATGGTTTTTTCTCCCTTAATCTTTCAGATTTTGGAAGTGCGCGTTTGTTTTGTTTTGGAAAATCAACAACACTACCCCAAATTCCCTGACCCAAACAGATGTCTAGACCAAACAATATAACTTTTAGAAGGGATCATAAGCGGTGGGATATTAGGCAGAGACCACTGTAGTAAACAAAATTCAGAGTTTTAAATATTTTGCTCTTGGCCTGCTTCTACCTTCTTTTCCACCAATCTATACCAAGAAGACAAGATATTCAAGACAATTGTGACAGCATGGGGGTCCAAAATACAGCATCTATCTCTTCCATATCATTTTCACTTGGCGTAGTGACGATTGGATTCACTACGCTAGGCTTCTTCTTCATTTTCTCCTTCTTCCATGAAACTCTCAGCATTCTTCTGATAATCAACATTTCCGCTGCTTCCAATTCGCTCTCTCTTGTTACTGTCCAACATGTGCAGCTATAGAAAAGTACTGACAAAATATAAATACTCAAAATCCAATTTCTTTGTTATCAAAGATTTGTTTCTGTTCTTTAGAATAATTCTAATTCTGAATTAGGTTAATGTTATTGAAAGAATACTCTACTATTGCAATTCTTGTCTTTTTGTTTAAGTTCGAAGCATACATTTCCAATCTGATGCTATTTTGCATCTAAGGTATTTGACTTGCTTGACTTGTTGGATACCCCGAAGAAGAAAGCAATTTAGCAAAATTGTTTCAGGTGGTTAAATAAAGCAAAAAATGTCTCGAATGTCGCCAATGTGAAGACGGGACCTCTTTTTTCAATCCAACACCAACTACACCCCAGACCCTACCAATCTTACAATCAAAACCCTGACACAGAATTAATCTTTCAGTTCAGAATACTGAATCCCATTAATTGGAATTTATTTCATCACCTGTACTTCTGTGACCTTTCCCCTTCGTCCATTCCCTCCATCTTGATCCTCCCATTGCCAGTCAACACCTCTAACGACACGAGCGCCTGGGAATATTCCTCGAGCTGTGATCTTCTTGCTTTTGCGACGAGGCTCCAGGATGATTCTATATCACAGGAAAAAGTGGTTGGATTCAGAGTTTAATATCCAGTCTCGACAAAACGTTTGGATCTCTATCTTAATCTCACAGTTTCTTTTTTTTTTCTGCAAGTGTAAGGGTTCAATTATAGGTAATCATTTTGAAGAAAGATCAAATAGCTCAATACGAAAAGATGGTAATAGAAATAGAAATTATATATACACCAATGAACACATCACTCAAGTACTTCTAAGCATAGATTTTCAAGTGCAGCTAGTTTGAAGTGAGGCTATCTATTATCCCCTCCCCTACATACACTTGGGGGCCTTAATTTTACTAGGAAGGTTTTAACGAGTTTCCTCTTCATTTAACATTGCTATATAGCTCTAGAGTAGCCATCTTCTTTTCATTAAACATCTAGCGCAGAATTTAAAAGTGTCCAAATCAGTTTTGGTCCACAAACATCTTTATAATGTGGATTCGTACCAATGCTGCATTAACCAAAACCACATCCAAATGTTAAAAGATTAAAATTTTTAAAAAAGAAACACTCCTGGATAAGAACCAAACCATATCCAAGCAGGACTTCATTGAGGGAAGAAAACCATTTAAAATCCAAATATGCAACTTGCCGTTCGTTTCCTGGATTGGCAATTCTGTAAAATCTGTGTCTAAGATTGTGTTTATCACCATGATAACACACAGAGCAGAGGTCATAGTTTGGACATTCAGCACACTTCCAGCGAATTCCAAAAATAGGCTGCTGGCGGCAGGTGTCACACATAGTTCCGTCATGCTTGATACCTGGAAACCAGAAACCATAAATAAAAAGTGAAACAGAGGTGATGAGAATTGGGAACAAGAAATATCGGTATGTTAGTTGGAATATGAATACCCTCGAGCGTTCCAAACAGCAGATTTGCTAATAAATGTACAACCTTTGGCTTTGTAGATAAGGTATGGATTTGATGCCCCTTAAAAGACTGTGTTAGCTGCATTAAAAGGTAGGACCTCCAAATTGAAACTGCTTCAGATACAAGAGTAAGTCAAACGGATGGAGTCTTGAAAACTCTCCAAACAACTCAGGTTCTATTGCAGATTTGTATAGCCCTCAATCACACAGTAACCGGAATGATACCAACAGGCTAACAGCATGCTCTTTGGCTTTGTCCAACGGTGTTCATATAAAATTCATACAAAACTTTTCCATGTATGGCCTATAGTCTCTGATAAACACAGGATCAAGTTGTTATCAGAAAAGTATTTCTCTGACTTTTGAAGACTACACAGTAAAGGTACAGGCTCAGTACGCCATGTAGCCTAATTTTGATGCCCATCATGAAACGGCTGTGAAGTTTATTGTGACAAAATTCAGTACGAAACAATGAAATCAAGCAGCCCGCAAAATACTGCACTTCTTGAACTCCCCCCCACTGCGTTTGTTACAGTTTGTATATGAATAAAAACTGACCATCAGAATACCCTTAGGGACACGAAGCATCCACACTTTTGTTGAGCACCTGACCCCAGACAAGGGTCAAAATGCTGTGTGGATTCCCCCTTTTTTTACATTCATCATGCAAAGCTGGGCAACAAAATTTGCCTCAGCAAAACTTCCTTTCAAATGGAAATTTAACTATTGCATTACTTCAGCAGTCTTTCTTTGCTGATTTTGCCGAGAGTGAAAGTACTTCTCCTTCTACAATTGTTTTAAATGACCACTGCTTCATTCACAAGAGCGCTTACAAAACAGTTTCCTATTTCACACGAACATACGAAATTCATCAATCCATCCAATTTATAAATAGAACATTTTGTTTTCTTAAAGAGCAGTTTCTACCTGTGTCCACTTTATTTTGTTTAGTCTTGCCCATGTAGCATTCTATATTTTAAGTTTTATCATTTTTATTTTTACAAGTGTTGCAAGATTTGAGTTCATTACTCCTTGACCTTTGTGGCTGCGTGATGGAGAAGAAGACCATTTTCGAGAGAAACCCATTTTTATTATTATATTATACTGTTTAACCATAGAATGCTGAAATAAAAATCATCAATTTATCAAAGCAAGGTTATTCTCATACCAATTTGAGGGTTTGGAAGAAAATTTTCAAGCAAAAGAGTCACTTTTACCTTACAATCTTGATTATGTACAGAAAGTGGTGGCGCATTACTGGGACATTTTTACTAAGTAAACTTCTTGTTGTGTGAACGTTTCTGCACCGTTCTCTTCAGCTGTTGTTCTCTTCAGCTGTTCGTCTTAGTTGTTTAAAACAGCCTGCTCTTTAACATTTTTTCTGTACTCTACCCAACTGTAAATCTCTGAGAGATACGTCAGGATTCTTCCAGCTCACGCCCATTTCACGATAGCGGAGTTTAGGGGAGGAAATGGCAGTAGCGGAAATCCACTACATAGCGGAATATTGAGACCCATGGTAGTAGTTATAAGAGTGTAACCAAGTTTTTTTTTATAGTTCTTTAGAAAGTGTTTTGGCACTTGCAACACAAAGTCATGTCAAGTGCCGAAGATTAGAGGAATCACAAGAGAGTAACAAACATGAAAATTTGATAGGAAAGAAGAAGCAAACCACACCAGAGCACCCGCCAGCCAGCCACTAACCGAGTTTGTAAGTTTTAAAGCTACTTACCTGTCTGTAGTGTAGTAGTACAGCGTAGAGTAATGGTAGGTTAAGGACAGAGCAAGTTTTCAAGTTACTTAGCCACGACAGAATTTAGAGGGGGAAAATAAAGGGTTGCGTCTATTGGGTCAAGACGACGTGTTCGTCAAAAAAAAAAGTTTTCGTGTATATTCGGAAGCATGTCCTTCTACGATAGCATGAATGCGAACTTAATGTACATTTTGGGTCTTTTTCTTTTTTTGAGAATGACATGCTTTTCTTTCTTTTTGGACTTTTGGACCAATGCATCTATAGATGCAGTTTGCATAACATTGCTGTGACCGGGAAATGGCGACATTGGCGTTGGAGGGTGCTGAAAACCAATCTCTACCGGAAATGACCCTAGGGGGGCTCGGGCTGATGTTCCACAGGATCGTGTTCGTGTACGAATAGTCAACCGAAAATAAAGTCTAACATAGATCTAGATGTCTGGTCAGGGTTTCATGGATGGATTATAAGGAAAAACTTCAGTTTATTTCAAAAGTAAGTCATCCTGCCTGTTCAAACTTCTCAAAACATCAGGAAGTTGTTGTTAATACAGTCACAGTAAACAGACACGCGTAGCTATATATTATATAATATCTCAAAACACTGAACTGAACTGACCACTGACAGAGCCAGCTAAAAACAGACATGAATCTACTCGCGTGTTTGGGCCCAGCATAGTACTTTAGTAGTTAGACAGTGTTATCACTTTTATAATCTGGTATTCTGTTGACCGTCCAGTAATAATTTTAAGTCATAACTTGACACAATCCTACAAAATAATATTAAATTAAAAAGGGAGTGTATACAGACCCCGTAACCGGGAACAAAGTCACAAAGTATAATATATACCCGGTAGGGGAACTCTTAAATTGTGATTTCGGAAAGTTCCAGCGCCCTCTTGGCTCAGGGTAAAACTAGGTTCTTCTTGAACTATGGCCTAGGTCTAGATCTAGAATCTAGAGACCTAGAATCTAGATCTAAATCTAAATGAAGATTGCGGATGTCTTTTCGATGAACGATCGTTTTTCCCCCCGTTTTGGAGTTGGAGGAATCACAATTTGAAGAAAAGAACAATGTCATAATTTAAATCGAGCAGTCACCCCCCCCCCCCTCTCTCTCTCTCCCCCTCTCTCTCCTTCCTCTGTCTCTGTGTATCGCTCGCATTCTATTTTTTTTGTTTGTCTCTGTCTTTCTTTCTCCCCTCGTATTTCCCACTCTATCTTTCTCTCGTTCCCTCCTGCCAACTTTGTCATACATTTTGCTAGCACTTCCCTCTGCTCTCTCCTCTCTCTCAGTCACTCACTCACACACACACACTACTGGGTCTGGGCGCTGAAACTTTCCGAAATCGCAAAAGAGTTCCCCTACCGGGCCTGTATACTTCGTGACTTTGTTCCCGGTTACCGGGTCTGTATATATACTTCGAATTAAAAAACTCACCTGTTGGGGCACTATCCAAGACACGCAGGTCATATGCTCCAGCACACCGGTAATTCGCTGCTGTTCCATTATCCCATACAACAACAACTTCCTCAGGAGATTCAAAGTTCCTGACAGTACCGATATGTCCTTCTCCACCGTCTTGTTTACCCCATTTCCAGTCAGGACCCCTTACCACTCTTGCACCAACCCCTTCCATAACATTGATTCTCACACTCCTGGTATTGGTGTTGCTAGAGCTAGTACTAGCACCAGGATCAATAGCTAACACAGAAGACATAGCAGTATCTGACCGTAGGCTCTCAGACCTGTTCATACTTATAATATACAGCTAGATTAATTCTAGATCTATCACATAAAATTATTATGCCATGAAAAGTTTGTCTCTCCTTTTACACTAACAGGGCACCAAAGTGACCAGACTACTGTTTTCATCTAGGTAACTCTCCACTTCCGTAAACCATCAGTTATGTCCCATCGTTACGTTAAAAATTTCACCTGAGATTGACGACTTGCAGGAAATAAAGCAAAATTTTTCAATTTTCAGCAAGACGTTAGCCATACAGATCTAGATCTAGTAATCTAAATCTAGATCTAGATCTACACGTCCAAAAAAAAAATTTGTCCTATTCTCTATTCGATGTAATTGTCCTGCTCTAAATTGTGCCTTGAAATGAAACAGAATGCGGAGCTCACTTGATGTGAAAGAATAATATATAATACAATTGAAAATCAAATTAAATCTCTGCATTTTGTACTTTCAATTACACTGAGAGCTTTGGATTTTTGTTTTTGATTTTTACGTCTTCCTTTAAAAAATGTATTAAACGCAGTTTGGTGCCTTTATAGGATCTCTAACGCATATGGAGGAGAACAAAGTCGCGAGTGTTCAGCTTTACGGTGTAAGGGACATAACCTGATTAAGATACTTCAAAGACTAAATCTGTGCGTTGTAGTCCCCCC